CCACTACTCAGGCCAGGAGCTTCATCATTGTAAAGGCAGACTGACTTGCAAGCCTGTTAGGCCTGGGTTAGATAAGTGCAGAGGGTGTGGGACTGATTCCCCCACCCCGGACAGCCTCCCGATTCCTCCTAGCCTTCTTGTGCCACAGATGCCCCAACTGTGGGGCCCCCTCAGCCAATGCAGGCTCCCCTGGGGACATTCTGAAACCCAGCCAAGTCTTGGTCCAGCAGGTGTGGATTTACGCACCTTGTTCCCAAGCCCATGAAAGTTTGGGCTGGAGTCCTGCCCTTTACCCCTTACTCTGTAGTCATCTGGGGCTGGATCCCAGGATGGAAGTTCATTTGCATGCAGATGTGCACACAGTGGGGAAGTCAAATGCCCCAAACCAACTCAGGAGAGTGAATTTCAGGGCTGAGTGATTTTCTTATCATATTTGCCTCGTGGTCTCCTGTCAAGTCTTTTGCCTTGCCTTAGCACAGAAGGTCAGTTTGAGCGTGTGTTTGTGTTTCTCTAGCTCTGGTAACCTAAGCAAGGAGCAGGTGGCTGGGAGGGGACCCTCCTGAGAGCTGCTGTGAGTGTCCTGGTGTGGAAGGTGTCCCTTTGTTTACAGAACAACCTCACTTTCACGGGTGCCATCAATGGAGACGTCTACGTGTGGAAGGACCACTTCCTCATCCGGCTGGTGGCCAAGGCTCACACAGGCCCCGTCTTCACAATGTACACAACCCTTCGGGACGGACTCATAGTGACTGGTGGCAAAGAGCGGCCGTAAGCTGAAACTCCCCTTAGGATAGCTGGGCTTCTCTTACTGTCTTGGATGAGAGTGACAGAAACATTTCCCCCTGGGAGAAAATGCAGCTTTTCGTTCTCCCATCTTTTCTGCTGCAGCGGGGAGATCGGTCTCCCCTTGCTCCGAGAGGGCCCTAGGTCAAACCTTTCAGAAGTATAAGTCAGAGATGGGGAGGGCTGGTTTCATGGTAGTTTAAAATCCAGAGAGATATTCTTGGATAGACCCGAGTGACTATGCTGATCATCAAGTGTTCCTCTCCGTAGCTCTTTGGGGGGCGGGAGGCTGGGGAGGAGGGGAGAGAAGTTCCCGTGGGGACAGAGATGTGAAAATGAAGCAGAAAAACAGAGAAGCATTTCTCTTCATGTTTGATCTGATAAAAACACGGTTTGACTTTTTTAGATTGCAGTCCTCTCCTTCTACCATAGTGGCCTTTGAAAGTATTCTAGGAAATCTGCCAGTCCAAATGGTTGTAACTACCCATCGGTGGGGCTGAGAAAGAGGCCACCCTGCAGGGTCTGTCCTGCTGGGCCCCAGTGGCTGTGACCTTGATGATGGGGACAGGGGGCCTGGCGTGTCACGGGCAAGTCTTAGGACAAGGGCCAACATGCTGTGTGCCTCTTGATCCTTTTTAGGACCAAAGAAGGAGGTGCCGTGAAACTGTGGGACCAGGAGATGAAGCGCTGCCGGGCCTTCCAGCTGGAGACAGGCCAGCTGGTGGAGTGTGTGCGCTCCGTGTGCCGGGGCAAAGTGAGTGGGCGGGGCCGGTCTACCCCCAGCTGTCCCCTTGGGGCCCAAGGGAGAGTTAGTTCAGCCGGACACCGTCCCTGTGCTGCACTGTTGAATCCTTAAAACCAGCCTCCGAGGTGGGACTTGAACTGCCATGGGGAGTTGGCTTAGCAGAATCCAACAGACCCAGGTGCAGACTCTTCTGAGTAGCGCCGGCTGTGTGACCTTGGGTGTGTTACTTAACCTTTCTGTTCCAGCACAGGCGTCCTTGTGAGGATCACATGCATTATAATGCATGGTGCCTTTCCTTATGCCTGCCTCATAGCCACATTCAGTGGATGTTAGCTGCTATTACAGATAATATTATTACTATAGGCATAGAGATAGTCAATAATTTGCCTATGTCCACAGTTACATGGGCAGTAAGGGGGCAGGAAGGGGCCATCAAACTGACTCAAAGCCATAGGTTTTCAAGTCATACCTGGGCTGAATCTCAGACACAAGTGCAAGGTTGGGTTTTTTTGTTGTTGGGTCTCTTGTTGTGTTTTGTTTAAATATGGTTGTCCAGGCTCTTGCCCAGAGCTGCCAAATCAGAATCTTAGTCATGATGTGTGTGTTCCTTTTTTCCTTTTCTTTTTTTAACTCCCCAAGAAATTCCGAGGTACTTGAAAATAAATCTTAACCTCTGCTTTGGCTTCAGGATGTTCCCCATAAGAAAAGGCAGACATGGCTTGGAGGCTCCATAATTAGGAATGGAGATCTTTGTTTTTAAATAGATCGATGGCAGTCATCCGGTAGGGTGATGAGACATCTGGGAGGTGGGGCGGAGCTAGGCCCAGACGTGGGGCTCATCGGAGATGGCGTTTTGTTCGGTGCGTGAGGGAGAACTTAGGAAGAACCTGAGCTGTCCGGCAGCAGAAACTGGCTGCCCAGCTCTGTAGTGAGCTTGCTGTCTGTGGAATGTTCTTGCAGAGACCCGATGATGGAATCTCTGTTCTCCTCCACGGCTGAGGGAGAAGGGGAGGTGAGGGGTGACGTAGGTGGGCGATTGAGTCAGCCACGGAAGCCTCTCGGCCCTTCCCATGGAAGGACTGCTGCTGGCAGAGCCGCTCCCAGTTTGCTCTAATTGTGTTCTTCTTGCAGTTATTCTTTAAAATACAGATCTCCTTCTTTTTTACCTATGTTCATCTCTTTGTGGCAAAAGATAGAGAACGTAACGATTTACCATTTTTGCCATTTTTAGGTGTACCGTCCAGCGGTAGTAAGTACATTCCCGTTGCTGGGCAACCATCGCCCCCGTCCACCCACAGAACGTTTTTTATCTTGTAGAATTGAAACTCTGTACCTATGAAGTACTCACGCCCCTTTCCTTTTCCCACCAGCACTTGGCGACCGCCATTTGACTTTTCTCTGTGAATTGGACTAGTAAGTCATACGAGTTGGATCATACAGTATTTGTCTTGTTTCTAATGTTTTTATTGCAACAGGGAAAAATTTTAGTAGGAACCAAAGATGGAGAAATAATTGAAGTTGGTGAAAAAAATGCTGCTTCCAACATCCTGATTGATGGACACATGGAAGGGGAGATCTGGGGCCTGGCCACACACCCCTCCAAGGACATCTTCATCTCTGCCAGCAACGACGGCACGGCCCGCATCTGGGACCTGGCTGACAAGGTGAGGGGCCCTCTCTGCCCGGGCTCGGATGCCCGCAGGTGGGTCTGGCCGGAGCCTGGCGGGAGGAGAGGTCTGGCCAGGGTCAGGCCAGAGAGGGGCGATGTGGCAGGTCAGCCAGTAAGTTAGACAGCCAGCACACACCCAGTCCGTCTGTCTTTTAGCTGTGTATCCATCCATAACTATAGTACAGGAATAACCTGAAAATAATCTGAAAAAATAATCTGGAAATTTTTCTCTTGTCATGGAAAGTCCACAAAGCCTTAAAAAGAAAGAGATAGGTCTTCCCTGGATGGGAAGACTAAGAATGATTTAAAACATCAGATGTTCCCAAATGGAACGTGTCAATCAAAATCCCACCAAAGTTCCTCTTGGAATATGGAAAAAAATTAAAAATTAAAAAATTCATCTTGAGTGAAAAATAGCAAAGAGTAGTCTGGGGAGAAAATTATTGTGGCCAAGTGTTATCTGATATTAAAACAAGTAGTTAGGGGCGCCTGAGTAGCTCAGTTGGTCAAGTGTCCCAATCTTGCTTTCGGCTCAGGTCCTGATCCCAGGGCCGTGGGATTGAGCCCCGCATCGGGCTCTATGCCGGGCATGGACTCTGCTCGGAATTCCCTCTCCCCCTCTCCCCCTCTCTCTCCGCCCCCCTCCGCCTCCTGCCAGCTCACTCACACTCTTCCTAAAGAATTTTAAAGATTCCTCTCTCTAAAGAATCTTAAAAAGTTAAAAAAATAAAACAAGTGCTTAAGTTCTAATAATTAAAATAGTTGGGCTCATCACAAAATAGCCAGTAAATATTTCATATTTTTAGTGTGAGGATCAAAGAACAGATATGCAAAAGCCCAACTATGGTTGCTATATTTACGTGAATTTTCATAATTATTTACTGTGTTTACTATCAACAATGGCTATCATTTAGTGAGTACCTGCTACCCACCAGATGCCTCATATGCGTGATCGCTAGTGCTTACAGCAGTCTTGCACGAGCAGTATTAATCTCCCTTCTTTTCCAAAGGGACAGTGGGGAAGTCACTGACGCAAACGCACCCGGCTAGTGACAGCCAGGGCTCGGGATTTGAGCCACCAGGTGCGGAAGCTCCAGCTCTTTTCCTGGAGCAAGAGGGGGGCGGTCTAAGGCTGGAGGGTCCGGTCCGGCTTGCTGCCTGTTCTACAAAGTAAACCGGGCTCACGGGTTACGTGGCACCTGTGGGAGAGCTCAGTGGTGGCCAGAGATCATATGGACCGTGAAGCCTACTGTATGGACTACCAAACCCCTTACAGAAAACTTGGGCAGCCTCTGCCCTGATCCGTGTTGTCTCCCAAGCGGCTCTAATTCAAACATCCTGGCTGCCTCAGCTCCTCAGGGACGGTTCCTGTAAGAAGCAAGAGGTCTGCAGGCCCACAGTGGCAGCGGAGACAGCCTGAGCGCTCTGGCCTGGGTGCGGGATTTCCCTGGGAGAGCAGCCGAGGCGGCCGGGGGCTCAGGGACTGTTACTCTGCTTCCATGTAGAAGCTGCTCAACAAGGTGAACCTGGGCCACGCGGCCAGGTGTGCAGCCTACAGCCCCGATGGGGAGATGGTGGCCATCGGCATGAAGAATGGGGAGTTTGTCATCTTGCTGGTGAACAGCCTCAAAGTCTGGGGGAAAAAACGAGACCGGAAATCTGCTATCCAGGATATCAGGTACATAGCAGGTGGTCTGGGCAGGGAGAAGGAGGGTGGTTCCCATTCCAGAAGGGTCAGGGCCAGGGCTGGACTGAAGAACTCATTTGTGAGGGGGTCCCTTTCAGCGAGCCAGCTGTGAAAGACTCTCCCACACGTGAACTCTCAGACATGTCTTTGCTAATTTCCATGAGAGTTTTTACCAAGTAAAAACTACATGTACCACGCCATTCTACCTAAGGCTGCATGCATTTCCTTACTGCCCTGGGCTAGGATCCAGAGAAATGGCTGAATTCCCTAGCATGTCAGAGAAGGTAACCGTGTGTGAGTCATGAAGTGAGATCTCCCTGCCTTTGATCCTGGGAGGCCCCTCCCAGAGCCGACCTCACGCCGGACCGGCCCAAACAGCCCTTCTCATGGACCATGCTCTTGGATTGCTTTTTCTAGAATCAGCCCAGACAGCAGATTCTTAGCTGTTGGTTCTTCTGAACACACAGTTGACTTCTATGACCTCACTCAGGGCACAAGCCTGAATCGCATTGGCTACTGCAAAGATATTCCAAGCTTTGTCATTCAGATGGATTTCTCAGCGGATGGCAGATACATCCAGGTATGTTTCAGCTCTGCTGCGCTCCGAGGCAACCAATAATAATAATGATAATATTACTAATACTAGTAGGAATAATGCCAGCCACAGCACCAACAGTGGTGGCTTACAGCAATGGAGTGCTTGCTTTGTGCGGGGCTGTGTACTCACTTCCTCTTCACAGGAACCCGGTCAGTACTGTTACTTCCCCCTGACTTTATTAAGGAAAGGGCAGAGGCCTAGAGAATTTAAGAATGTTGAAGAACTAGAATTTTAAAAGTGGAGTTGTCCTTCAGTAAGAAATGCAGGCAGCATAAGCCCTAATCCACTTCTAGCCTCCCCCCACCTCCTCCCCTTCAAAGCTTCCTACCTTCGGGTTCCCCGGGGCCATACCTGAGCCTGCGTGGCTTCTTATCCGTGGTCATTTCCGTTCCGCGTCTTCAGTAGTGTGGCCCGTCCACACTTGGGACCTGAACTCTGGGCCTGGAGTGGAGGCTCCTCACTCTCCTGGGGGAACAGACAGTGGGAAGGGATGAAGAGGGGTCCCACCTTTGGGACTTTGAGCTGAAAAGAGAATGATGTCTTATCCAGCACTCTGAACAAATATTAGGCGTTGGTGAGCCGGCCTGGAGTCGGATACCCGTTGTGAAATGAGAGGGGACCCAGTCATCAGGGGAGTATCTACTGAACGAGGCACCTTGCTAGGCTTTTGGGTGGACAGAGTGGGCCTGCTCCTTGCTCTCCTGGAGCTTGCCCTGTAATGGAGAAGACAAGCGTTCAACAGATAATCACAAAATATACATATAATTACAAATTGTGATTATGTCCTGGGAAGGAAAAGTACAGGGTGCTGTGGGAGCATTTAACAGGCACTGAATTTAGATTCACTTCCTCTCCGCACAAGTGATATTTAAGCTGAGGTCTGTGGGCTGTGTAGGAGTTAGCCAGCAGAGAGAGGCAGGAACATTTTTCCGGGCCATCTGTACGAAGGCCCCGAGGTGGGGAAGATCTTGGCGCATTCCGTGCACAGCAGGAAAACCCAGGGTGGCCAGGCTAGAGGCACCCACAGGGGTAGAAGGGGCTGGAGATTTTCTGGAAAATGGCTATCTCCCCCTAGGATATTCTCAAAGAAGAAAGGGTCAGGCCCTAGATGCTTCAGAAATCATCTACGTCAGTGGCTGTCCATGAGAAAACTTGCCTACCTCTGTACCAAAGCACCTGTTTCTCCCAGAACACGGATTCCCAAACTTGGAGCATCAGACATCCCCTGGAGGCATTAAAACACAGATTGCTGGGCCCCACCCTCAGAGTGTCTGGTGTTGGGGGGACCAAAGAATATGTATTTCCAGCAACTTTCCAGATGCTGCTGCTGGTGGTCAGGAACCACATTTGGGTAACCACTGCCTTAGGACTTTGGAAAAGAGCCAGAAAAGGAATGGAAAAATGTCCTGCTCCCGCGACTTTTGCTGCAGGCTGACCACAGGCTTTGCAGCCTCAAGCTGAACTTGGATTTGTTGAAAAGTCCTGGGGAGCCAGAGGCTTGGCCGGTGTTCTGGGAAACAGCACACCGAAAGGGGAGCCCTTTGACCTGGAGAGAAGGTTGAGGGACTTGGTTGCCTTCTGCTTGCAGGTGTCAACAGGAGCCTACAAGCGCCAGGTGCATGAGGTCCCCCTGGGGAAGCAGGTCACCGAAGCCATGGTCATTGAGAAGATCACCTGGGCCTCCTGGACAAGGTGACTGGAGGAAAACAACTTCTCAAGGAGAAGGTCATGAGAGAGCCTCTTGTGCCAGGCTCGGTCTCCAAGTTTGCATGTGGCCAGGATGTGAAGAAGCTCAGAGATGGAGCTATCTTGTCTTCTTGGCGGGGAGGGAGGGCTTGGAAGGGTTCTTGGTACCAGTTTGGGCCACTGGCTTTGATCCAACCTGGGCTTTTGAAATGCAAAATCCCTCCTTTTGTGTAATCGTCCCAGGGCCCAACCTCACCCAGCAAGTGCAAAGGGAAATGGTCTCCGGGCTCCTGACTCAGCCCCGGTGCAGCGTGGGGAGGCAGGGCCGCTTAGGATGAGGAAGAGGGCCTTGCCAGTTCAAGGGAAGGGTCACCACCAGGCTGTGAGCAGGCGGACAGTCCGAAGGAAGGACCAGAGGGACGAGAGAGAGACTCAAAGATGGGGGTAACTTTTCTTCTGGGGTGCGAGGGACTGGGGCACAGCAGAACAGTAAGAACAAGGGTAAGTGCCCAGAGGGGGAAGGGACAGAAGAGCCACATGATCATAGTGAAGGATGCAAAAAGCCCTCTCTCGCTCTTATCCCCGGGAGAGGGTGCCTGACTGCCGGAAGCCTTCTCCTACGTCTGCTGTTGACACCTCTTCTTGTTCAAACAGCGTTCTGGGGGACGAAGTCATTGGCATCTGGCCACGAAATGCAGACAAGGCTGATGTCAACTGCGCGTGTGTGACCCATGCTGGCCTCAACATTGTCACCGGAGATGACTTTGGGCTAGTGAAGCTCTTTGATTTTCCATGCACAGAAAAATTTGTGAGTCTTCCTCAGAGTAACCTCCGTGCACTGCCTCCGGGCTCTTTCCTTCTGCAGACCGCAGGAGGTGGGGCCACACTGAGACGGCCATCTAGACTCTAGAACAAGAGCAACCTTGTTCTGGCCCTGTGGAGATTTGGTGACCCCTAACCGTTTCATCTCCCTCTGGAGGGGAGGTCCTGGAAACCAGGGGAAGGGAAGATGGAAGGTGTACAAATCGTCCACCTTGGGCAAGAATGAACGGGAAAGCCAGTCAGCAAGAGACTGGCTGAGAGAATTGTCCAGACCCAATGGGAATGGCCGGAGCGAAGATGATTCCGGCAGGGGGAGACTGGAATGCCGGAAGTGGTCTGTGGTTGCTGGGAGGGGCAGGGTCTCTCAGCTCTCTCTCTTCACTTTTGCTCACAGGCCAAACATAAGCGTTACTTTGGCCACTCAGCTCACGTGACGAACATCCGTTTCTCTCATGACGACAAGTATGTGGTCAGCACTGGAGGAGATGACTGCAGGTAGGACCCTGACTGACCTGGCTCGGATTCCCTGGGCCTGGATGGTACTCCCTCCCCCCGTCCCCAAGTCAGGTGTCCCAGGGACACAGGGAGGGGCTGACGTCCCAATGAAGACAAGGACTTTTCAAGTATGGTCTTTAGTCTCTGATGACTCCCAACCCCAAACTTGATGGGCCCATGTCCCCACTGGAGCTGTCCTGGGACTGGTGAGAAGGGGAGGGCATGATTGCTACTCTGAGCACTGCCGGGTGGGGGGGGGGGGACCCAAGATGGCGGATTCCAGGCAGCCCGTGGCATCCTTGCCTACAATCAGGTTAAAATGACCTCGATCCGTAGGTCTTTTAACTCCTAACTTCCAGCTGATCACCAGAGTTCTTAAGATGGATGACAAATCCACAACCAAGAGAGGTTTAAAAATAGTAGTAAGCCTCAGTTACCCTGAGAAACAAGGGTGTTCCCCAGTTTTGCATGAGGTCAGATGAGAAGTGAAGCCATTAGGCCCAGTGCTAGTTAGTAGCAGGAGAACCTTAACCAGCTATTTGGACGGGGCTGCTCTTGACCTTAACTGCTGCTCAGTGTAAGGCCCAGGGTTCAATGTGAGGCATGACTGGCCTTCCAGTGATTTGGAAGGACCCCTGCCAGCCTGCTCCAGAGATGACCTCAGCCTCTGCAGCATTTCCAAGGCCCCTTCCTCTTGTCCCTCCAAGGGCATTCCTTCTTTGGATTGTGGACGAACAGGACGAGGTCATTCCTCAACTCTCATTCTCTACCTCTAACGTAGTTGAAGGGCTTTATTGCAACATGAATATTGGTTTCATTTCAGCCCAAGCAAAATGCTTGGGGGGTGGGATGAAGAAGAAATAGAGCAATCCAGACCAGCAATCCACTGGTCTGAGAGGTTGTGGAAAAGGCACCTGTAGAGAATGCCAGAAGGATGGTGCAGAAAACAGCCCCCAAAGGTGCTGATAGCCTGCGGTGGGGGGCACGGTCTCAGGTCTGCCGTGCCGACAGCGGCCGGCACTGAGCGCCCTTGAGGTCCTACTGCCAGCCTGTCCCCACTTCGGGGCCCCCCTGAATGCCCCCATCTGGGGCCGCACCCGCCAGGCTGCCAACAAGCTAGCGACGAGAGACTAAGTGAACTGGTCACCCCGGTGCAGGGGATCGGAGGTGACTTTTGATGACTCTATAAGGCTTAGAAGTAACCTTTAAACTGCAGGGCCCCTGGGCCTTTGTGGCCATGGGAGCGTACTCGGACCCCTGGCTCTACGTCCAACAGTAGCAAAGGCTCTCCTACCCAAGTGGGGCTGATAAAACCTCTTCAGCAGTAACAGAAGAGAGTGTGAAGTCAAGGTGCCAAAGTCCTTCCATTCAGCACACTCAGGCTGGTGAAAGAGCCAGACGAAACAAAAACCAATAGTCCATTTTAAAAAAGCAGATCTTTAATTGGTGGCAAGATCCCTGGTTCGTCTTTAGAGATTGAAATCACAACATCCGGTACATCCCGAGCTTGACTCTGGAGCACTTGGTAAGATTGCTTTTGGTCACTTGACAAAATGATGATGTCCAGCCACGCAAGATCAGTATCTGGTCTGCTTTTTCAGTGTGTTTGTGTGGCGATGTCTGTAAATGCCAGAAACCTCTTTCTCGCTGCTGCTGCCCGCCCCCCAGCCACCGCGGAGGCACGCAGGGGCCCCTCCGTGCCCACAGCGCTGCAGGCCACACGAGCGCCACGTGCCAGCGAAGCGGGGTGACCGCCCCATCCTCTGCGGAACTGTGCTGCCCGGAAGGTCAGTTCTCACATGGGAGGAGTGCTTGCCTCTGTTCGTGACACGACACAAAAAATCCTCTCTGACCATGTAGCCCACCGACAGAATTTAAAGCCTCAGTTACCCTAACCAATATGTAGCTTTTAATTTGCATCAGAACTTTTACAAAGGATGTTTTGCTATTCTGTTTCTATATACTTTAAAAATGTTCATTTTTACCAATGAGTTGAACAAGACCGCTTCAGTTAGATGCACCTAAGCATTAGAACTACCGATAGCCTCAGTTCTCCACATTTAGCTTTCAAAACCAAATGAGCCATGTATAAACAAGTTGAGAAACTTAATTTTTTAATGTTTCATTTGCAGAGTTTTATATCCATTAAGTGCCTTTGAAAGTTTCCAGTTGTGTGGGCTGTCTCACCTCCCACAGATATTCTCCTTTCTACATATGGTGCTAAAACTTCAAAACTGAGGAGGGCTACAGGACCCTTAACAGATTCCTGGTCTGTCACCCATGTCATGTGTTTATGTCCCGGCTTCCTAAATGCAAGACATCGGTTACCTGCTTGGGAAATAGTGGCAGGTGAGCAGCAAAGAAACTGAAATTCAGGAGGGAGGGGGTAGAAATGGGTTTTCACAGTTCAGTGCCAAACCTACAAAATCCAAATAGAAGTAAAATAAACCGCTACTACAAAATAGAAGGGCGGGGGGGGAAGCTCAAGTGGGTCTAGGAGGATGAACCCTTAATCCTAAAATGGTAATAAATGAGGTGACCCAAGGCTGCATTGGGTCTTCCCCCTGCCCCCCCCGAGTGGGGCTGACTTGACCCCATGGATTTGTTCAGGTGAGCTATATAGGTCAAGTCCAGATAAAAAGAAAAAAAAAACCCCTGCTGAACAAATTCCTAAGCCCAAGCAATATTTGATAAGATTATAGAACAAAATAAGCTAGCTTAAAGAGTTCCTCAGAGCTGGCTGGATGACAGAAAATGTGACCTGGACAATATTAATCAGAAGATAGCCCTACCCCGCCTCAGTCATACTTCACATGTGGCTCACCGCTGACCCCAGGAGGGGCGGCCCACACACGCCTCGAGGAAGGCCAGTGAGGGACCGGGGACTCTGAGCACACAGATGCCAATTAGTCCTTCCCGTCAGTGAAGCAAAATTCTGGGGCTTGAGTTCCTGGCTATTGGCAGTTGTCAGTTTAGAGAAAGGTGAAATGAAGCATTTTCAGTTAAACAGACTAATATTTACCCCAGAAGTGCTTCTGCATTCTAAGTGGATTAGATCACTCATGAAGCTATTTTTATATGCCCAGTTATGAATGCCTTACGTTAATCCCCTGATAGGCTGTTGGGTCCCCCGTTTGAGCCCCTGTGCAGTCCTAACTCTGTTTTCTGTAACCCTGTGACGCTGAGTGTTAACCATGTCTGCCTCTACTGTACACCTGACCTTTCATAATAATCAGACCTTGCATTGAAATAACCATGTGGAAGAATAAATTGATCAGTGAGGATATATACAAACTATATTTACAGAGCAATAGTGTCTGTGTCAAGAAACTTCTTAAATCTTATTTGTAAACATTTATATGGTATGAGTTTATGTATGTTCATAAATCCTGCACTGTGTTCTGTTAAAATATTGGTGCATGAATTTATTTTCAATTAGCAAAGTATAAGAAATACATCATTTGAAAACATTTTGGTATGTATGTGTCAAATAAATTGGATCATGTAAACACAGCTGCCCCACGCGCTGGCAATGCTTTCCGAGTGGACCTGCTCCCACGCCCCAGAAGCAAAGGCTATTGTGTGTGTGTACTCTGAACGGTGGCTGCCATTTCAGGGAACCAAAATACCAAACATCCTTTAAGTCTAGAAGCTTTATTGATACTTTGCTTTTACAGTTCACAATGCATTCCACAGATTCAGGACAGCTTAAACCACAAATGTATAAATCTTCATTTTATAATAATTTTTTTGCATCACAAGGTTTGATATTTGCAAACAACATTTTTGGAAGCATTAGATTCAGTCCAGAGATTCCGAGTTTATAACAAAATGAACTACAGGAAGTCTGTGCAGTGAAGTTTACTATGTGCATGGCATCGCTTCACATTGAAAACAGATGGTAGTGCTCCTGGAAATGGATTTTCTTTTTCTAAGCTTATGTGCTTTGGAACTATACACGTATAACAAATGACTCTGAAATATCAAGCACTGTGGGATAGCCGGAAGGTAAAGGTCTAAGCTTTGTGAAACACTATATATAGATATATCATCTATATTTACTTATATTGGCAATTAATATAACAGTAAAATTCACAATACACCTAGAACATACCAGAATGGCAAGCTTTTTCACTCTTGCTTTAGTGGTATGATCTCGTCTAAACATTTCATTTCAGAAAATCTGCATCAATCCACACAGACCATACACAGTGCACAAACTGTGGAAAGGATTTTTTGTTCAGCTCCACTTTCTCAGCGATTTCCCCCCCCCCAAAAAAAAAACAGCAAGACTACCTGCCACAAGTGTAATATACAGCTTTCTCAGATCTTTTTTTAATTCACCAGTGCCTCGTATAGGAAAAACAAATATGATTACGGTTTAAATCCATACATAGCAGCTTACAATACTTTTAAGATGATGAACACATGGCAGTCAAGACAGGTAATTTTTCCTCAGACACCGCAATGCTAAAAATAAAGGTCTGTGAAGCTGCAATGTCAAGGTTTCCTCCTTCCCTGACCCTCCCCCATGTAATCAAATGAATATCCCCTTTATTTGTTGATTTCTGGTTTTTTCATTCAGCTTTGCGCTTCAATCCAGGGATTTTCGCTTGGATTCTACAAATGAAAAGGTTGGGAAAAAAAGGTCAATGGAAAGATTTTTCAATTTTAAGTATTTAAAAATGCTGTCCTTCAAGAACTACTTGTGTAAGTGCTCAGCTTCTACAGGACATGAAATCCTAAGGCTGTCAAACTGTAAGCTGTAATTTTGCCACCTTACCTCCTGAATTAGACTTAAAGCCTTAAATACAACACAGAGCAAACACAGGAATCAATGATCCAAATGGAGAGAAAAATCTTTTGGCAATTCAGTCGTACTTTTTAGGTATGATTAAGATATGCTACTGATTAGGCCTATAAGATGAAAATACTACACTTTGTTCTCCAAGTCCAGCACACCTTATCCTTAGTGGGAAAAAAAAGTTGCAGATTTTAAATACTTACTTAGCCATAGCATCTTTAACATTCTTATTTGCAAGTCCTAGATAATGATCTATCTGCGCCTGAAAGAGATATGAAGGAGTTACTAGAAAATTAACATTCCTAAAGAATCTTATTAACCGTTACTATATTCCAGCAGATTAAAGGCTTTAATAAAGGCTTAAGAAACCATATTTTTCATTTTTATAAGGCTTTGGAAACCAGCACCAATTTGTTTTTTACGTAATACAGTGGGGCTTGTATTCTGAAATCTACAGTTAAGAAATTACCTGATGCCGTTCATAAATAACAGGAACGCTGAAGAGTGAAATCAGAGCTGAAAAAGCAAATACACAACCTCTAAAATAGACTGGTATGATTTAGGGAACAAACACTGAAAAGTCATCTAACTGGTAAACTCGTCAGTCAGGCAGTGTTCCTAATGAATGAATAAATACCCAAGGTTCTGGAGGCACCTGCTGGTGGAGAGCCACTCAAGAGGAATGAATGAATGAAGCAAGGGATCCTACAGGAACCATTCCTAGCTTAAAATCACATCCCACAGGCCTCATAAAATACAGGTATCCCATGTTAGTCTGATTTATGACTGTACCATCAGGTGAGGCCAGCCCCCATCTGGTTTATCACTGTTAACTGGAGCATTCTTTAGGAATTAAAGTAGCAATTCAATATACAATATCAGTATCAGCAATTTATTTAAAGAGCTCACAACCTCAAACGTCTTCCCTACAATATAAGGATTTTCTCCACTAAAGTGTCTCTAAACTCCTGCACATAATCTCTTATTGTGCAGTTTTTCATTCAAATCGTTTTGTAGACTTACCCAAAATCAGTAGTGTCAGACCATTGAACAAGGCACCAACATAGGTAAATACCCACATCAACACTGCAAACTGTAAGAAAATAACATTAGCCTATTAAAAACAATTCACACAAAGTTGAAGCTTTCAAATAGAAGCATCCCGTCTAAATGCCAACCTACCAGAGGCATAATCGTTGGAGACTTGGTAAAGTAATAGGATATTTTACCTGTAAGTCACCAGTCTCAATTTGAAATTTCAAAATCCTAATTAAGATAGATTTATTTTCTCTGGACTATACTAGGCCAAGTAGTTCACTAAAGTTTTCTCTGAGACCAGAGAACATGCCAAAGGTAGACCTTACCGTTTCAGCTCTGATACAGCATTTAGCTTTTAAATGGGAAGCCTGAAAAGGTATGCGAATTCGCTATTAAACCTGATTTTAAAGCACTAACAAGTATTTCAAGATCGACATGAGCTGAATAATTCAGACATTAAAAATCTCAGCTGAATAAGCAAGCAACAACGAGGCAGGGAATATTTACGATCAGAGAGAAGGGGTTTCAGGTACCAAAAATACCACCTGTAATATTATTAAGGATCAGAGGCATTGTCTGCACAGTGATATATGTTTTAATAGTTAACCCTGGAAATCAGGATGCCTCAATCTCATATACTCGTTAATAAAACTGACCATTAATATTCTTTTAGCCACTGCCTTCTGTATTTAACAAACACCAATATAGTTCTTACTATATTAGTGCCAGGCACTGCTTTAAATGCTTTACAAACATGAACTCATTTATTCCTCTTAACAACTTGGGGATGTAGGAATATTACCACAGCTGACGGAGACAACTCCAGGACAGACAGGTTGAATACCCTGCCTCGGGTCACCTTTCACTGTCCCCTCGAGGGGCGGGGAACTGCAGGGAACTAACCAAACTTTCCTACTTTAGAGGTCAGGCTCTTAAAATCTAGTTTGGTTTTTGTTTTCTGTTTTGTTTTTTAAATCATCCAACAAAGCAGCTAGGGAAAGGCTGTTCTAAAAAGGGATTTCATTTTGAGAAGTCCTTTATTTCCTCTGCATACCTTATTCATGAAGGGTTGGACAAGAAGTTTTCAGAGTTTTCTTCCAGTTCTAAAATTTGGTTGACCTCATATAGTACAGACTCGATGACATGTTCGAAGCAGTTCTTGGAAGACTTAAAGTCAGTCTGGATTTTATTATTCTTAATCAGTAATTCCTTCGCTTTCTATTAAAGGCCTTCATGTGTCTTGCATAAGCTCTGCCCTGATTAGTAGGTAACACAATACAACGGCACCGTCTCCACTGATTAGTCAGGTACATACAACATGGTATAAATGAAAAGGAGCGTGGAGTGGAGTCAGCACCTCCATCCCCTAAAGCAGGGATTAGCAAACCTTTCCTATCAAGACAGGAAGATAATAACCATGTCTGGTTTTACGGGTCTCTCACATATCCTTTGAATGTTATCTCTGAAAATTTTTTGAATATTATCCTTTAAAAAATTTAAAAACCATTCTTAGCTCCCAGGCTATACCAAAACAGGCCATGGCCAGGCGCAGTAGTTTGCAGACCCTTGAACTAAAGCATATATTCCTCCATATAGTCATTCATTCAACAAAATCTGATTGTCTACTATGAGCTGAGTACCAAGCAGTAATTAAGATGCTCAACTCTAATAAGCACATTTACTGCAGGTTAGGAACACACGATGGATTCCTCCACCAACTGTCAGTTCTACAAATAGCAACCTCTGGTTACCCCTACAACTGAATTTAATGTTCAAGTGACCAAATGTCAAGCATTCCTAACACCTGCCAGTTGAAAATCAAAAATTAAATACTGCCCTGGTCTCAGCAACTGCTATGGTAGAAAGGTTTGAAGCATGACTCCAGTTAGCAAGCCTTTTCCTTCTCACAGAGTTTTACAGACTCCTATTGCAGAAGCTAATTATAACTTCTGGTGCTTAAGCAAGTCTGCTATAGAACATTTTCATGTTTTCATCCATCACCATCCACAAGTCTAAAGGGAAAAGCGTCAACCTTCTACATTTTAGAAGAAATTGCTTTGGCAATAAGGATACCTTTGTCCTGACAGAATTCCGATACTAACACATACAAGCTAAAAAGAAGTCCTAATTTGGTCATTAAGTCACCCACAAGGCCGTACTCCAAACCCACAAGGAGAGAAGCCCAAGACTTCACACCTAGCTCATCTAAGGGACTCAAATGTCACTGGACTTGCCTCTTGGGGGACACTCTGCCTAAAAGCTACACTACCCAAAGGCAAAGAAAGGAACAGAGGAAAGACTAAATGTCTGTGGGACCAGGCAGGCACCTTAAATTCATGAAGGAGCCTGACTAAGGACTGAGGCAAACAGACATACGTATTCTCCCTCTCACGGAGGCATGTACGATCCAGCTCCACAGACTGCTGCCATCCAAGTATTCCAGGCCAACGTTGCCAAAATTTCCCATTTTAAGAGAGAAACCAGAAATTCACATTTTTATGTGTTATCATAGAACTTTTAAATACTTCAATCTGGAGAAAATTTAACACTTTAAGGATTAACAAAAATGCTAGGTAAGGTTTTCCAGAGAATACAGCATGAGAGGAGAAAGGAATGGTAGTTAACGACATGCATTTAGCAATTGCACAATTACTGGAACCATTATATAATAAAAGCAACATTTTTTTTTTTTTTGCAAATAATATTAGGTCAGTGAATCTCATCACAATGTCAGAAGTACTATTACTATGCCTACAGAAGAGCAAACCAAGACAAAGAACAATTAAGCAAGTTGCCAGACCAGAGGTCACAGTGATCTCAGGTTTATCTGACTCCAGAATCAATCTGCTCTGCTGTACTTAGGTAAAATCACCTACAGAGTAACTAACCATTATTAGTGGGAATTTGTCAGGAATGTGCATGCTATCATTAAGAGGCAAAGAATAAACACTTCAAAGAAACAAAACAAGCAACTTGCATTTTGGACCTACAAACTCTATGCTACATGGCAACTATTCTGTGACATTATAGCCAATGCATATACTCACAAGGAAATCAGAGATCATCTCTCTTTGGACAATAACGAGAGAGGAGGAAAAAGGACCAAAGTACAAGGAAGGTCTAATAAATACTTAAAGTGAGCAAGGGCCATGTCTTGTTGGCCTTTTGTCCCAGGGGAATAGGGAATTAAACTTTAACTGTGTATTAAACACCTAATTAAAAAGCTCTGCAGATTTTTATTAGATGATGTCTCAACAACCAGGGGCAACATTTTAAGGAAAATGGAGGAAGGGTGCATAACAATTTCAGACATTACTCTGGCAATTCTGACATTTTCAAACATTTCCTGCATTTTTAAAGAAAATTCTTTGCCCTTTTTGAAATCTTCAGCCTCATTCATTAGTATCGCTTTGATTGCCTACATTTTCCCTAGCCCATTTCCCTTCTAATTTTTTTTGTGAGCCGGAGAAAGCAGAAACTGTCAAAATGTGTATGTTAATAACCACATAAGAAGAGCCCAGGGGCTAGATTTTAATGTTCTTCTGGGTCAGCTATTTCTGGAGTTCAGACCTTTTAGGCTCACTTTCAGATTTAAGATTGTATTCTGGAGCATTAGGATTGCGTGATGTGCAGGCAACTATCACTGGTAATTCTCTTATAATTTTAACATGTATTTTCACTGAAAATCACACAAGTACACTCATACAGAATCTGGTCTTTATCACCCAAAGCTGTATTACAGAAAAATAAGAACCTCTGCCTAAAATACCTGGTCTTGGTATCTGATAAAATTATTCGATTTTTTTTTTTCCTTGAGATTTGAGGTTTCAAAAGGCAGGATCCCTCTAATCAAACTTGGAGCCTTATTCAAGAAGCTCCAAACCTGAGCCCAGAAGGGACCGTCCCATGCCTATTACAGTGCGGGTGGTGGTGAGTGGGAGGTGGGAGCGGGGGAAAAAACCATAGGCTGGGGTTTATAGCTTAATGCCACAACTTTTAAAAAAGTGATTCTCCCAGTAGTATCCCCAGAAAAGTTAAATCACAATTTTAGGAGAAGGGCCCCCCATTCCTTCTCTTTCACCCTTCACAGTTATCAGGTGGTTCCAGTGTACAGCAAAGACGGAGAACCACTGTTTTAAAATAAATGAACCCTATCAAAGATCCCTTACACAGAAGACCAATCACAGAAACAGAATTAAACCTTAACTCGGGGTCTAAATATACTCAACTACCGTATACTAATTTTCTGGTACTCATGGGTATTATTTAAGACAAGGTTAACAGATATCACTGGATTAAATAGCATTATCCTGCCTCTTTCTGACTTCTCAGAGACTAATAAAGTACACCAGACTCCCAAGAAAAGGCTATATACATGGCTTTTGCAACTTAATTTTACTAGAGGACATTCCTCTTTCCTTTCCTTTCCTTCATTCTCCTCCCCCCACCTGATGTCTGGCACTCAGTAGAACAAACCCACTTTAAGAAATAGAACCTTTAAAACAAATCCTGAGGACTGGACAAAACATTTGGCTGCAGTGAAATTTTATATTAACATTTGAAATAAGTTCTACTGAATGGAATTAGAAATATTTTGTCAGAGATTTTGCCCATGTTTGACTAAAATTAATCCTTTGGGAAATGTATCATTGGCTCCATCTGTGGACACTTGCAATCTTTTCTAGGACCTAGAAGCTTGTACTTAATTGCAAAGGAGCAAAACAAATGGAACTTTTACACAAGAATTTAAAAGGAGAAATCTGTAAAACATCTTATTTGTCCAAGTCAACCACCAAAAGGAGACTTAGGCCAGACACAGTGATAACCACCATGTCACATCAGGTCTTTTTCAGCAGGCCTGATGCCTCAGGACCCCTGGAGTTTGTTTGTTTGTTTGTTTTAAATCACATTTGATTATGTGATTTTTTTAAATCACTATCAAAAAAAAGGAATAAGCAAGAAGAAAAAGTTTCACATGCTAAGAATAGTGGCTCTAAAATTTTCACTTTCTGAGGAAGAAGGTTTCTAATAGAAGTAGTGATAACTATGACCCAGAATCTAGAAATGTAGATTATATAAATGTGAGGGCACCAAATTTATGAAGATAGCAAGTTATAGAGAAACCTCTTTCAATGAAAATTTTTGTTTAAAAGCTATTATTTTAAATACACCACAGAGCTTGATACCATGTGTATTTTCTACATTTAAAAACTTATGAGACTCCACTGCATTTTCTTGAGTTTAGGGTGGTGTCCATTTTCCTAATGATGAATCGTACAAAATCAAAGTAATTCATCTGGAAACTGGAGACACCAGGGCTATTTATTAGCAAACTTTCAAGAGATTGAGACTCTAAATATAAGGAAATAAATCAGTCTAATAGGGCAAATTGTTTCTTCTTTACATTGAAAAAGTAAAAAAAGAATGAACTGAAAAAAACCTTTTTTTGCTTGCTTTAGGGAGAGAGAATCTATCATTCTACTGGCTGTTACGGCTAAAAGGCAAAAAGTAATAGAGTCAGGAGGAATCACTGTCTTTAAAAAAACAAAAACAAAAACAAAACCACTCTGTATATACAAAAACTATGGGGGAATAAGAGTGGTAAATGCTTAAGGAACTATCTATAGAAAGGGAATACTAAGTCATTTTTATAAAGAGTCAAGAGTGTTAAGATTTTTGTTAGCTTTTGTCAATGAGACATTTTAAGCAAGTACCCTGTTTCTATAATACCCTTATTCAGTGGTAACAAACAGATGGAATTTGTACTACTCAGACACAATGACATTAAGATTTAATTTTAATTAAAGGGGGTCAATTTTTTATTTGAATTAATTTTAAAGAGGGTCAAAAGGTAAAAAGAAAAAGTTTATTGACTTTGGAGGTATCCCAGGTACCCCAGGACGGGAAAGAAAAAAGAAAGAAAAAAGAAAAGGTTGAACTAAAGTCTCCCAAGCAACAGGACCACCAGGTTTATCAAGGAAGACTCTTTGTGTATATTATCAGAACGTGCAACTGAATTACCAAATGCTTCATACCAACACTATTGCACAGGGAGAAAAAGACACAGCCTGCCTTATTCTTTTGCTTCAACAGATTTTGAGACCTAAATGCAAAGTTCATTCTATGTGTTAATATGTTGAAGTACCTGTTCCTTATTCGGAGCCCTGAATGAATCACCATGTGTGCAAGTCACCAAGCAGCTTTCCTTGAGCTCTGGGTTTGCCAAAAAACACTACTCAAGAAAACCATTCAAATAAATTTTCTTTTCAAAAGTACTCCTAATCCATAAGTAGTAAAGTAGTAAAATGTAATTCTAATGCAAGTCAATATTAAGAAATATTAAGAAAAAAGAATTTTTTTAAAAAATAAGAAAATTTCATAAAAATAAAGTGTTTCAGGAAGTAAATCTGCCTCATTATGTGCCACATCTGTTAACCAAAGGTCACATATATAAAAGCCACTCAAGGCAAAAATTTATCAAGTTCAGTTTTTCTCATTTATGCTAGTTTCATCATGAATAAAATACCTGCTTTAAAAAAAAACCTGAGCATCTAAGGTAATTTTCAAAAGAAATTAAAAATTGAGATTTAACAGCAAAATGAAATTCTTCATCTTAGAGAAGTAATTTATTCATAAAATGTCATCTTTTTTTTCAAGTATCTGTGCAAAACAGACTTAAAAGGTGTTTATAATATTTAATCAGGCCTTCTCTAACATTTTCATGCTCCTCTAGCTTTTGCCAAGTATTTCCACACATAACTGTGTACACATAGGACTGTATATAGAGGATGATAAAATCTGAAAGAACAAAGAAGTTTTGACTATAGACATGTGGAGACTTTAAAACCTGTAAAAACTGGAACATAACAAATCATTTGTTATTATCTTCTGATATTAAATTCTGGGTATATCAAAAATGAGAAGCAAATAAACTTACCTTCAGAGAATCAACTAAATCATCAACTAAAAAGAGGCGTCTGAGTTCTTTTATCGTGCAGTTCACATGACCAAGAGCAGAGTTACTGTATTTCTGAACCAACTCCTCAGATATAGCGACTTCAGATTCTAAGTATGCCCTGGAAAACAAAACACATCCTAACGGTCACTGATCAGAGTGATTCTCCCTGGATGTCTGTCAATCAGCAAGCATGTATCTGTAAAAGAAGACATTAATAAAATATTTTACTATAAAAACTTACTGTTTCCAAATTAAGCACAATGTAAAAATTCACCAATCAATGCGTATTTCATTGACATGCACAGGGTCAGCTGATGAGCGCAGAAAAAAATCATTTGCTTTGAAGTTAGACTGAGCTGGGCTTGAATCTTAAGCTCCGCCACTTACTTGTCTGTTAACTTTGCAAAGTTACTATCATGAGGATTCAAGGAGTAGAGTGCTTACTACAAGCGGGCACAAAGAAGCACTCGATAAATGGAAGTTATTATTATGGATTTGGTTTTTTCTCTTCACGCTGACATTAGGCTGCCTCATTAGATTTTCCTAACAAAGATCCTATTCGTTCCCAAATCCTACACTCTCTCAGCCTAAGTTTTAGGGGAAACTGCCCAATATGTAGGGGCCCAGATTGTGAAATGGCTGCCAAAAGTATGGTGCTAATGCCAGTAAAATGTAATAGTTACTGCCCATGTAGCTGCCCTAATCTATACTAAGACAGCTGGAATCGTTCTATTTAAGAAAACAACTGTAATGAAGAAGAAAAGTCATGTGCAGGAATGCAAAGAACTATTTCATTAGTTACTGTTTCAAAGAAGCCATTTTATCTTGGTAGAGAAGAACCAACTCAGAAATACTAAGCATTCTTTTCTATCGTTGGAAGGAGCTCCTTATAACCCAGTCTCTCTTCATCACTCTCCAATGTTGGTGGACACTAGTTACTCACACTGGAAAGAACAGTCCTCTCATAACTCCCTGTCCCATAGTTTACTTCTGTAATATGTCCCAAATATGTCTCATTTTTATTCACTATGCTCTCTAAGTGTTCATTATTTAAAAACTGGAACATTCTTTCTCCAAACCAATCGCTAATCTGTCTGCATCCTAATCCATTCCTTCAACCAATGCTAGATTAGTTTTATTTAAATTTTCCTAGATAGTGCTTCTTAGATTCAACTCAGGTAGGAGTTAGAAGACCTGCTACTATCTAGCTGTGTAACCTTGCAAAGTCATTTGACTTCTCAGGGTCATGGTTCCCACTCTATAAAATTAGAGAAAGAGACCTTCTTAAATCTCTTCAGCCTCAAACATTCTGTGATTCTATGGTTCCAACTTTGCAACCAGAGCCCTCCTCAATCTTTCCAAACTGATTTCTCACTACTCACTATGTTGCAGCCAAATATGAGCCAATCATCAAACATTTTTTAATCTTACTTCCTTTGTTCATCATACTGTTTTCCCAATCCACAATGCTCTCCTCCCATCTCTAGTCATAGCACACCCAATCAGCCCATCTCAAATCCCACCCATACGGGAAGCCTCTTTGGCTCTTTCTTCCCTAAGACCCTATTATGCAATTCTAATAATGCTTTCTTTTGTAGTATTATTATAGCATTGACCATAGCCAGCCCTGGAATATGGACACGTGTATACTTGTGTATTTTTCCTACAAAAGTATAAACTGTTAAAGACCAGGAACGTATCTTTACTATGATGGCACAGCACTCAATTATTATTGATTAACCAGCACATATCAAGCTGTTATCATCGAGTGAAAAATGATCAAAGAGTCACATCTACCCTTAAATCGGCAATAATTTATTTGTGCAGCTCTGAGAAACACGGAGCAGAAGCCGGTGTAACGTTCAGTGGGCATCCTGCTTCTCCGTACCACTGCCTTCGCTCGTGGAGACAAGGCGCCCGGCCAGCACGCACCGGAGCGGCGCGCTCCGTCAGGGGAGCCCCGTGCGTACGCCCATCCAGCCGGCCCGCGGGCCACACTAACGCGACGCCCGCGGGCGGTCGGTACACGCCGCACGGCCCCGCCCTCGGTAGTGCAGAAACTGCCCAACAGGGTCAAGCTGGCATGACTAATGACTAGTGTCTAATGACTCTAAAATGAGGAAGTGTTTCTCAAGAAATAAGGAATGAGAAACATCTCTAGATTTTTCCCCAAAAGTCTTCTTTAAAATATTTAAAAAAAAAAGTCTAAAATTTATAATGTAGTTAATTTAGAAGTTTTGGCTTGACAATATTTTTATGTATTTCAATATATCTAATTCAAAATTATATTCCTCTATAGGATATAGCTCTGCCATTTTGCAGCTGCAATTTCAAGTTACTGAACCTCAAGTATGTTTCCCTCTCTGTGGAATGGACTAATACCATCTGTCTCATTGAGTGGTTATGAAAATTAAGTCTGTACATAAAAGGCCAAGGACGTAAGAGCCATTCATAAATGTTGGTCTCTCTCCCAAACTGAGGTAGCATCATTACTTCACCAATATGAAGAGAGCTAGAACAAAATAACCAATCTTTACAATAAACAAAACAGATCTTTTCTTGTAAAGTCTGAAAATCAGTTTACATTTACCCATTAATATCAACTAGATAATGTTCTCAGTAGTTACATACTCATTCATGCCCACGGATACTTGCCTTGCCAACATAGTTTAAAAATATTCAAAATCTATTTGAGAGAAAAAAATGTCTATATACAAAACAATCAGAGAACATTTCAAAGCCATATTTAGTGCAATAGGAAATGAACCCTCAGATCATCTGGAGCCAGTGTTAGGGAAACCTTCTTCAAAAAGTTACATCTTGAAATCAAACACAGAACCAAATAAAAAGTCTAATAGATTAGGTCATCTGAGAAGCTAAAAAGGCAGCACAAATGGGCACAAACAAAACTCTACAAGGGGTGAATGAGAGACAAGATAAAGATATTTAGACTTGATCCTGTAGTGAACAGAAAGCCCATATGCCTAAAAATATAATAAAATTAATATCTGAGGAAAATGTGACAACATCTATAAAAGCTGAAGTAAACCAAGGTAACCAGAACCCAATTTGGTAACAAGTGAAGTCCAGCCAGCGTAGACAAACTTTTTCTGTAAAGGGTGATGAGGAAGTATTTTAGGCTTTGAAGTCCATATAGTCTCTGTCACAACTACTTAACTCTGCTATTACAGCATGATGAAAACAGCTAAATGACTGAGTATGCCTGTGTTCTAATAAAACTTTATTTACAAAAGCAGGCAGCAGACTGGTTTTGGTCCCTGGCTATAGTTCATGAACTTGTGGTCTACATTGAGGAAGTAGGAGAAAACAACACAACTTAGTTATCTTCTTTACATGAGATGGGAAAAAAGATAACATCAAAATTGGGAGCCTGAAATGAGGATAGTAGTGGTGTTACTGATAGAAGTTGACAAGTTTGAGAAAAAACATTCATTTACAGACATGATAAGTTAGTGGTTGTCAGAGAGTGGGTGGGAAATAACTACCAATGGGTAGAAAATGTCTTTTTGGTGTGATGAGAATATCTAGAGTTAGATGGTGATGATTGTACAATTCTGAGAACATACTAAAAACCACTGAATTTTATAATACATGCATTTTATCTCAATTTTTTAAAACTGGGAGGAAATACATGCTGAGTCTGAAGTTAGGGCAGAAGACCCAAACTGAGGTATGTCCCATTACCAATTAGATATGTGATGTGACAGTGTACTCATAAAAGTTAAGGGCAGATGGGGGCACCTGGGTGGCTCAATCGTTAAGCGTCAGCCTTCGGCTCAGGTCGTGATCCCAGGGTCCTGGGATCGAGCACCGCATCAGGCTCCCT